TTCAATTGGGCTGAATTTTGGATATGTTATACTAGACACCCAATTGAACAACTTCTATGAAGAATGTCTCCTCATCCGAGTTGTGCAGATTGCTGAAATGAGACCTGCAAGGTGACTTACGAAACTGGACTGACAAGAAGTGTGGCCCAACTTTGGTTTTGTCTTTAAGCTCTTGCTCTTATCCCAATCAGCCCTTAACATGCATGGATTGCATCAAATGTGATCTCTTGCTATCTTAACCTACAAAACACACAAACAGAGGTAAGTGACTCAAAATAAAGATAAACTAAGCAAAATCACTAAGTAAAGAAGGCAAGCAAGTGTATGAAATTATGGACTTATCGAAACAGAAAATGGATTAAAAGCACAAGTTTAACTCAATAACATAACCAAATCATAAGCTAGAAGGGTACAAAATGATATACAATTATGAACCGATCAGGCGCCCCTAACCAAGCATCACTTCTGCCACGTGTCTTGCTCTTGTTGGCTGTTTATTTTGGGTGTAAACAGCTTTGAGAGTTGTAAAATCCAGGTTTTATGCGGAGGAGGATACTGATGCATATGGGCTCAAGGTTGATGTGAAGAAGTTTCTCTTTGATATGAGGATGCATGCTAAAGTGATTGTTGTAACAATGAAGTCGTTGGATGCGCAAGCAAACCATGGGTCCCCTCAAGATGAATAGTATGTGGAGGCGCTCACTGTTACTCAACAACCGATTGACTAATCACATGGCTGATTTGGCCAGACATAAATTACATGGTTGAGAAACAAGAGACCTCATTTGACATAAATTAACAGGTGTCCTTAAATTGCTTGTATAAAATTGATCAAATTGAAACTATAGAGACCAAAGTTATAAAACCGACAAACTAAACCAAAATCAACTTTTGGCCAAATAATAAATTTATAGAATTTTTATCACATTGAATGAGAACGTGTGGTTGCACCGAACTCTCCCTCGTAAGGACAAGGAACATAGATAGAAAAGAGTAGCGATGGCGAGAGGGGTCCCGCAATACCAAGATTTTTCAGGCAGATGAAGTCATCAATGGCAACCGGAAAACAACTGGAACGCAGATATAAATTAGCTGTCGTTATCTGAGCCATCGACCAACACAATAGACAACACGGGCCGACGCAAATCAAATGCATACTCCTTTTTCTTAAATTCATGAATAGGACTTGCTCGTGTTCCATGCGCCGTATAATATATATAAATATGTTCTTGGCTTCTTGTTGGAAACTTGAGTTTTTCTGCAACCATATTCAAGCATTTCTTATCAGAAGTCTATGAGGAGGAGGAATTCTGAATTTTTATGTCCTTCATTTGATTTATTTCTTGAAGAAAAAAATATTTGGGAAATTTCAAATAGCAAATAGCTAGGTACTCTGCTCTTCTCCGCTCTGCCGCGTCTACAGATTCATAGGTATATATCATCATATGTTCTTCCATTCCTCTCACAAAAATGGCATTTTAATTAGGATTGTCTTTTTGTTTCTCTTATTTTATGTTTGCAGAGGAGAGGAGGTAAATAAAGCTCATTTCCAGGTCCAGAGCAGAGTGGTGAAGTGAGGGATAATAATAACAAGTATAATTCAGGTTCAGCAAGGATGGAGGTTTTGCAGCTCTTCATCACCGCCTCAATTCCGGTGTTGAAAGTGCTCTTGATCACTGCGCTTGGTTCATATCTTGCGCTTGATCACGTCAACATTCTCGGGGAAGACACTAGGAAGCACTTAAACACGGTAACTTCTTATTTCATTCATGCAATTTCATTTAGTATCTTTGTCCAAATAGATTCTGTGGCTACCTTAGATTGTGTTGGTTGCTAAAATCATAGAATTTTTTTGTAAGGTTTCACTCTTTCTACATACATAAGTGTGTTTTTTTATAACAGGTTGTATTTTACGTAATGAGTCCTGCCCTGGTGAGCAGCAACCTTGCGAGGACAATAACATATGAAAGCATGGTTAAGCTGTGAGTTAAAATTAATATCAATATGGTTAATGCACCAGTTTGTTTCATGTAGGCAGATTTATTGCTCAAGCTTTATTGGTTAAAACTTTAAAACAAGTTTGATATGATTGAATGTGTATATATTTGTATGTGTAGGTGGTTCATGCCGGTGAATATCCTCATCACATTTATTTTTGGTTCGATACTAGGATGGATACTCCTCCTGCTAACAAGACCACCTGCACATCTGCGAGGCCTTGTCTTGGGTTGCTGTGCTGCAGGTAAACACATATTTAAGCATATATATGTTTAATTGAACATTTTGTTCCCCTAAATTGCCTTCTAATTTTTATTTATTCTTTCTAAATCACTGATAAAATATACCTTGTTTCTCCTGAGTTGATTTAAACAGGAAATTTGGGGAACTTACTCCTCATTATAGTCCCAGCTGTTTGTAAAGAAAAAGGGAGCCCATTTGGAGCTCCTGATGTCTGTCGTACTTATGGATTGGCTTATGCTTCACTTTCAACGGCGGTACATTTCTTCTTCTTCTGCTAATATTTTTGGTCTCGAACTTCCTTTATCTAGTTTTGTATTACTCAAAGTAAGGAATTATGGGGAACAAGCTCAAGATAAGTTTTGATAGTTTACCACCATTCTTTCAGACTATGTTCTCTCACATGTGATTGCAAATTACTGGTTGTTGAAGTCGAGATCAATCTTCGATACCATGATAAGTTTAGGCCAGATCTTAAATAGCTGAATTTAAGAGATTACTTCAAGCACGAGCTTTCTGTGTATAATATGACAGGCACAATCCAATTCTGGACAAGCATGCATATATGTTTTGTGAACACTGTCTCTTTTTTAGTGCATTCTCTTGAAATATTTTCTTTTTATTTAGCACAATCTGCCTTGTTCATACAATTGGTTTTGCTCTTCAGATAGGAGCCATTTATTTGTGGTCCTATGTGTATAATATTGTGCGGATATCTGCAAAGAGAGGCACCCAAGATTCAACCCAGTCTCCGGTGAGATCCTCCACACCGAACGAAATAAGTTGCACTGAGCCTCTGCTTTCTTCAAAGGAATCTGAGGTAGTGGAGGAAAATGCCAATCATTATGCACTGCCCTGCACTATAACTGAGGAAAACGCTAAGGTTGCTAACTCCATCAATTTACCATGTTTTTCCGCTTTGTCTACGTATTTCCAACTATTTAAGATATTCTTTATAAAGAGAATGTTTCTTGTTTGAATGTATGATCCGCAGTATGCCAATATAACATCGCCCTTTTCTGTTTTTTTTTTCCTTTTTCAATTTCTGATCAATGTCGTTTATCATGGCAGATGACAACTTCAGGTAAAATAAAGCAACGTATAATTATGGTGTTTGGAAAGCTCAATCTGAAAACAATATTTGCCCCTTCTACTACTGGAGCAGTATGTCCTTCCAGCTCTTAATGCACATACATCTTGATGCACATTTAGTTCTGTTTTATTGACACATTGACCAAACTCAGCTTCTTTTTTTCTTGTATAGATTGTTGGTTTTTCAATCGGAGTCATCCCTCAGATTCGAAAAGCACTGATAGGAGATGGTGCTCCTCTACGGGTGGTTCAAGACACTGCTTCTTTGTTGGGGTATAAAACTTATGCCCATACTGTAACCAACGCTAGTGATTTATCTGTGTTCTTCACGCTTATTAGTCTTTTAACTTCTTCTTTATGATTGCAGAGATGGAGCTATCCCAACTCTCACTTTGATAATAGGAGGAAACCTACTTAAAGGTAATATAACTCCTAAAATCTCCACCTTTTTCCATTTTCATATTTATTCTTCAGTTTTTACTTACTTCACTTTGTTCTCTCAGGTTTGAGAGGGCCAGGGATGCAGAAATCTCTGGTTGTTGGCATCATCATTGTTCGTTTTGTTGCCCTGCCTCTTATAGGAATATTGGTTATTAAAGGTGCACTCAAATTTGGGTTGGTGCACTCTGATCCATTGTATCTGTTTGTTCTTTTGCTTCAGTTTTCACTCCCACCAGCGATGAACATAGGTACGCTACGCTCTTCTGATTTTATTTTTCCTTCCAATTTTTGCAATGCAAATTACAATTTGCCCCACTGGTTATTTCTCATAATGGACAGACATTCTTTTTCCTAACAAATTGATTGTGTTGTTTCCCTTTACAATATGCTTTATCTTCCTTATGTATGGCAGGAACAATGACTCAATTGTTCGGAGCAGGAGAAAAGGAATGTTCAGTTATCATGCTGTGGACTTATGCTTTCGCTTCAGTATCACTTACTTTTTGGTCCGCTTTTTTCATGTGGCTTGTGGCCCGATTGTGAAACAGCTTCAAAGCATCCTCCATCTGCTACCTGAACCGCAGATGGAACGAATGAGGTAGCTATCTGTCCGGCTTGAATCTTCTCCCAAACCACATGACAAACAATCTCAATATGTTTCGTTCGTTCATGATAAACTACATTGGCAGCAATATAAGGGGTTGCTTGGTTGTCAAAGAACAACTTTGCAGGACCTAGATTGGTAACTCGTTGATCTTTCAAAAGAGATCGCAACCAAGTCAGCTCACAAATAGCAGCCGCATGGAATGATATTTTGCTTCAGCGGATGAACGAGATACTATTTTCTATTTCTTTGTCTTCTAGGATATGAGTGAATCCTCAAGAAAAACACAATAGCCTGAAGTGGATCTTTTCTTCATGGGGCAATTTGCGCAATTAGAATCACAATTACCTATCAAATGTAACTTACTCTTTGAATATAAGAGTAATCCTTGACCTGGACCAGCTTTCAAATAACAAAGAACACGTAAGTCGGCATCGTCCTTGGTTGATGTATTAATTGGCTTAGAATATTGACTGCATAAGTAATCTCTTGTCTAGTGATGGTAAAGTAGATTAAACGCCCCACCAATCATCTAAATAGCAAAGGATTGTTGAGAACTTCACCATTTCTAGTTGTGAGCTTCAAGTTTTGCTCCATAGGAAAATCTACTAGTTGAGCACCTAGAAGACCTATATCATCAAGAATATATAGTGTGTACTTTCATTCAGAGATCGCAATTCCCAACTTTGATCTTGCAATCTCTAGCCCAAGAAAGTACTTCAAATGGCCCAAATCTTTGATATGAAACTGATTATGAAGAAAAGACTTCAAATTCTGTATAACACTCTCATCATTGCCTACGATAACCATGTCATCAACATAGATTAAAACAGCAGTAAATGATGTACCACAAGTACAAGTGAAGAGAGAATAGTCCGAAAGAGATTCTATGAATCCTGCTTTTTGAATGGCAAGAAAATTTGTGAAACCAATTATGAGGGGCTTGTTTGAGACCATAAAGGGACTTGTGTAGTTGACAAACCAAATTACTCTCCCTTGTGAACAAAGGCCCAGAGGAGGAGTCATGTAAACTTCTTCATGGAGATTACCATGGAGAAAAGCATTGTTAACATTCATCTCATAAAGAGGCCACTGATGAACAGAAGTAAGAGCTAGTAAACAACGGACGGTGACCAACTTCACAACTGAGGCAAAGGTTTCTGTATAATCAAGGCCTTCTCATTGAGTAAAGCCTTTGGCAACAAGACGGGCTTTGTAATGCTCAATGGAACCATCAGAATAGTACTTGAACCGATACACCCATCGACTCCCAATTGCACGCTTGCCTGATGGGAGAGGAACCACGGACCAAGTGTTTTGTTAGGCAAGAGCTTGTACTTTGGCATCCATAGCGGCACGCCAATGATGGTCTAGTACATCCTGCGCATAAGAAGTGGGCTCAACAACACTTGAGATAGTGTTAACAAAAACCTTGTGTGAAGGAGATAAAGAAGTATAAGAAATGTAATTGGACAATGAAAAACATGTACCTGACTTCTAAGAAGATGATGGCCCATTTGTAGCTTGATTTGCAAAGGAATTCATGTAAGAGAACAGATGGTTGAGAGACCTGTTGGCTAGGATGAAAGGTGGAGAGAAAGGGACATTTTCTGGTAAAAAGGAGTCAGGAACAGGTTTGGCATCATGAAGCGATCGATCGTCTTAAGATGGGAGATCGATCACATCGGTGTTTTGAGAGTCTGAGTACTCTTTGGAAAAGAGCGATTGATAGCTTGAGGAAGAGCGATCAATTCACTACTACAAAAATCGAAATAGACGACGGTAATCCACCGTCGTGTATTCGGTTTTTCAACCGTCATGAAATTGAGCGACATCTTTTGATGCATAAAACCACGACGGTAAATCCCCGTCGTCTATTGTTTGTAAAGACGACACTTTTACTCAAAATCGTCGTCTATTATATGTAAATAGACGACGCTTTTACTCAAAACCGTCGTCTATTATGAAGTAAAGACGACCCTTTTTATATGAAAATGGTCGTCTATTATGAAGTAAAAACGACCCTTTTCATATAAAAAGGGTCGTCTATTATATGTAAAGACGATGGTTTTTTTATAAAAATGGTCGTCTATTATGAAGTAAAGACGACCCTTTTCATATAAAAACCGTCGTCTATTATATGTAAAGACGACCCTTTTTATAAACAAACCGTCGTCTATTATATGTAAAGACGACGGTTTTTTTATAAAAAGGGTCGTCTATTATGAAGTAAAGACGACCCTTTTTATATGAAAATGGTCGTCTATTATGAAGTAAAAACGACCCTTTTCATATAAAAAGGGTCGTCTATTATATGTAAAGACGATGGTTTTTTTATAAAAATGGTCGTCTATTATGAAGTAAAGACGACCCTTTTCATATAAAAACCGTCGTCTATTATATGTAAAGACGACCCTTTTTATAAACAAACCGTCGTCTATTATATGTAAAGACGACGGTTTTTTTATAAAAAGGGTCGTCTATTATGAAGTAAAGACGACCCTTTTTATATGAAAATGGTCGTCTATTATGAAGTAAAGACGACCCTTTTCATATAAAAACCGTCGTCTATTATATGTAAAGACGACGGTTTTTTTTAGCGTGTTTTAAAAGACGACGCTTGTTAATGAAAGATAAGGTTTTCAAAGATGGGTGAAAATTTGAAAATTTGTCGAGCGCGAATTCACTTAAGCGGCCATTTTTTAGCGTGTTTTAAAAGACGACGCTTTTAAAAAAAAAC